GATTTAGGTCTGGGACTTTGACTGGGCCACTCTAACACATGAATATGCTTTGATCTAAACCATTCCATTGTAGCTCTGGCTGTATGTTTAGGGTTGTTGTCCTGCTGGAAGGTGAACCTCTGCCCCAGTCTCAAGTCTTTTGCAGACTCTAACAGATTTTCTTCTAAGATTGCCCTGTATTTGGCTCCATCCATCTTCCCATCAACTCTGGCCAGCTTCCTTGTCCCTGCTGAAAAAAAGAATCCCCACAACATGATGTTGCCACCACCATGTTTCACGGTGGGGATGGTGTGTTCAGGGTGATGTACAGTGTTAGTTTTCTGCCACACATAGTGTTTTGCTTTTAGACCAAAAAGTTCAATTTTGGTGTCATCTGACCAGAGCACCTTTTTCACATGTTTGCTGTGTCCCCCACATGGCTTCTCGCAAACTGCAAATGGGACTTCGTATGACTTTCTTTCAACTATGGCTTTCTTCTTGCCACTCTTCCATAAAGGACAGATTTGGGGAGTGCACAACTAATAGTTGACCTGTGGACAGATTCCCCCACCTAAACTGTGGATCTCTGCAGCTCCTCCAAAGTTACCATGGGCCTCTTGGCTGCTTCTCTGATTAATGCTCTCCCCTGGCCTGTCAGTTTAGGTGAATGGCCATGTCTTGGTTTGAAGTTGTGCCATACCTTTTCCATTTTCGGATGTTGGATTGAACAGTGCTCCGTGAGATGTTCAAAGTTTGCGATATTTTTTATAACCTAACCCTGTTTTAAACTTCTCCACAACCCTATCCCTGACCTGTCTGGTGTGTTCCTTGGCCCTCGTGATGTTGTTTGTTCACTAATGTTCTCTAACAAACCTCTGAGGGCTTCACAGAACAGCTGTATTTATACTGAGATTAAATTACACACAGGTGGACTCTATTTACTAATTAGGTGACTTCTGAAGGCAATTGGTTACACTAGATTTTAGTCAGGGATATCAGAGTAAAGGGGGCTGAATACAAATGCATACCACACTTTTCAGATATCTATTTGTAAAAAAATTTGAAAACCATTTATCATTTCCCTTCCACTTCACAATTATGTGCCACTTTGTGCTGGTCTATCACATAAAATTCCAGTAAAATACATTTAAATTTTTGTTGTAACATGACAAAATTTGGAAAATGTCAAGGGGTATGAATACTTTATCAAGGCACTGTAAAGTGTACCAAAAGCTGGAGTGATCCAAAAATAGACAAAAAGATTTGGGCCAAAAGGATTTTTTCCACAAGTGGTCAAAAAGTTATTTCCAATCCGTTGTGCCCTACTTTTGATGAACTTTAGACTCATTTTTAAAAATATCTCGGTGCCAATGGATTGGCACAAATACACCATGGCATACTATGTCCCATCACTAATATGTGAGGCCACTGGGTGTGCTGTATGAACTGTTCTGGACATTAAAACTGAAATTTTATAGATAAGCAACTCTTATTCTCATACTGATTAGTGGTTCCAAATTAAAAATAACTACTGCAGTAGGGGACAGACACACAAAAAAAACCCAGACACTCCACATCTTTCCAAATACCTATTCTGGTTATTTGGCACATTTGAATGCAGTAATATCCTCTTAGGAGTCGCTAAGTTTTGGGTCCCCCTATAGTCCTGCACAGCCAAGCAACACGCATCCTCCCATCCAAACATGGATCCAGGAGACAGTAACCAAGCAATCAAGCTCAAACAAGCCTTGAGCTTGATTTTTTTGGGGGGGGATTTTACTAGGGGAATTAGAGCTTGGATAGGGTAAGGGTGTATGGGATGCACAAGGGTATGGCAACAGAGGACAATCTTCCTGAATTGAGTACAAGTCTCTTTTAGTAGCAAAAGAACAAATCTTTCTTGGAGAGCTAGCCAGCATCTCCTGTAGTACCACCCCAGACTCTAGATACTCCTTATCCAGTCGTTCTGGGTGAATCCCTGGGAAGGGGATCCAGTGACTGTCACTTTAGGAGAAGACAGTCCTGGGTAGAAGCTAACTCAGTTCCCCACCAGAGTGCTCCTTCCCCTTATTGGCCCAGGAAATACAGGTCCACTCACTCAGTCCTTCTCCTATGCTGCTGCTGGGTCGGTGGCTGCTCTCAGGCCTTCTGCTGGGCCGCTCCTTCCCTGCTGCATAGGTGGTCCTTGCTCTGGGGGCTTGTAAAGTCCCAAGCTTTCCTCCATTTAAGTTTCCCTGTCTGTAGGTGATCCCTTTCACATCTGGGCTCCCGCCCAGGCTCCTGCTCTCCAGCCTCATTTTCCATCTTCCACCCAAACTCATCCCTTGCTGAGCAGGCTCAAATATTCTTAAGGGGCTGTCCTGGCCCCGAGCCAAGCTTCCTATTGGGGATTGGCCAGGATCCTTTGAGAGTGCAGACCAGCCACTCCGCACTCTCTCCCACTGCTTATAGAATTTTCTCCAAAACTCTAGAGCAGAGAGAAGTCCTAGAGTGCTGGTCTGAAGAGCCTCTCAGCCTCTGACCAATATTTGACCTCCTGACTATTATACCTGGACTGCTACTCAGCCCTTCTAACTGAGAATTAGAACTCTATCTCCCCATAGCTACCTAGGAGGGTGCTACATGAAGTTTTTTTTTTTATACACATGATTACATAGGTATCACATTAATATTACAATTGTACTTTTATGGTAACAAGGGAGATTACATAACCAGGCTAATCTCTAATCAGGACTTGAAGGAATGCAAACGTAATAAAAAAAATTTTAGTGCCTTCTGCACACTGAGTGCAGTGCACAATACCTAGGCAAAGCATACAAAATAAAATACAATTTTATACAGAATTTACAAATTTCCTTTATATAATCTCCCCTCTTTTGATCAATATTTTGATTACTATGACCCTTAACCTGGAACCTCCTTACATTTAGGCAGGACTAGTCCTGGCCTAGGAGGCAAACTCCACTGGGGGAAATCTAATAGCTGAGAGCAGCTATATCATTACAAAATGTGAGTAAAACTTACATAAAAAACAAATGATTCATAACAAATATTTGCAGAATAATTGGCTGTACACTCAGATCCTGTGGCCAGAATGGCCTTGTAGCTTACTAGTGGGCATGCTGACTTATCAGCATAGTTAAACACAGAAAATTCTGAATTAAATGGAAGACATATAAAACATGACTTCAACATGGCTGAACTGCTTTTCAAATCACTTTAAATATACATACGAATATGTTTATTAATGCATTTGAATAAATAGTACCCCAGTCTGTGATTCCAAGAGGAAACCAAATTAAGCACAGATACTTTAATTTTTTTGCAGTGTCTGGTATGGATCCTTGTGACTTTTCCTTCATGATTTGTAAACTGTACATGAAATAGACGCTGTATTGTGTTTCTAAACATGTCAGATATTACAGATATAAGCAAGTGAGCAACACACTTCCAAGCTAAATCTCATAGGGAGAGAGTTTATATATCCTCACAGGGGCTTAATGAAATATTAGAGGACATTCAGGCCATAGTTTTCTAGTTTCTGACATCCTTTTAGTTACTCTACATTTTCCACTACATTGTGGATGATATGGGGTATAAAATAAAACCTCATGGCTTCTTGTAAGAACTCTCCTATAAAATGAGTTCCTCCATTATTCTCTCTAGCTTCTGGGACTCTGTACTTACAAAAACTACTGATAACACTTGTTACTGTGGCCTTTGCAGTAGCATTTGCCACTAGCCAAACTTCTGGCCATTCAGAAAACATGTCCATAAAGACCATTGCATACTCGTAAGGTCCTGACTTGGAAGGGATGTTCAGATTTTGGCAGCACCTTTGGTAACAGGTAAAACAAGAGGCTGTATATTCTAAAACAGCTATGGAGAACCCTGGTGCTATCCCAGGCTCATTTACTAAGACAGCCATAACTGCTTCTGACTGATGACACGGTCCATGTGTCAAGCTGAATGGAAAAGAGTGGCTGGCAGACATAAAAGATCACCTTTTTCCAAAGTCCTGTTTCATAAGAAGTTTCCCCCACTGTAAACCACTTCTTCTTGTTCTGGGGTCCTCAAAATATAATTATTAATCACAGCTCTACTGGGCCAGAACTAGGGTGGAATCTGTGAGTTTCACAGACCCAGCAAATGTCCGTGGCTGTAATGCAGCATTCTTAGTCACCTGGTCTGCTTCCAATGTGTGAGTTTTAATGTTAGTATGGCTACCTCAGCAAGAAGCTGGAATGCTGAAGACAGCCAATCAATTAACTTAACATTCTTGATTGGTTTACGTTCCGAAGTAAAAACTTCTAGCCCTTCAAATAGAACCAAAATCACGCACCCACCCACCCAAAAGCTCTCTAATTCCCTAATGTCTAAATAAATGTATACTCTTTTGATAGCTCACAGGCTTTGCTAAAGCATGGAGATCTGCTTCTTGAGCTGGGGAAGGAGGAATCAACTACTCTGAATACAGAATGTCCTTCTGGGCAACATCTGCATATTCAGTATGAGTCTTGCCATCCTCTGTATAAACTGGGATCAAATGTACAAAAAATCAAATATTTGGGTCTTCAGGGAGTGTGTCCTGCACTGGGCTCAGAAGCTGATTCCTACAACATCAATTTAATACATGTGTTTTTTTTTTTTTTTGCCTCCAGCCTCCTCCAACACAGGCAATAATATGGCAGGGTTCAATGGTATGCCTTTTTCATTGTTAGATTTGTATAAATAACAATAAAAATTCATATTTTGGGAAGCTTGCATTTGGCAAATATTTAGTTGGGCTGTTTGCAATATATGCTGCACAGAATGTGGGATCATTAAAGTTGAATAACTGACCGAAATAATGTCTGTAACTTTGTCTAGCAGCACCTTACATGCAGCTACTGCTCTGATATAGCCGGGTGAACCCATCATTACTGGGTCCAGCTTGCATGAAATATATAGTATCTCAATGGCTTGTTCTTTCCTATCATGCTGTTTGTGTAAAAACTCCAGTTTCATGTTCTAAAAAGACAACTTTTACCTGGCAGTCAGGGGCGGACTGACCATTCGAGCACTCAGGCACTGCCCGAGGGCCCGGGTCAGTAGGGGGCCCCCATGAAATTCCGCTGGTACCTTTTATAGGCTTTTTTGGGTGTGCTTTGAGTGTGGGCAAGGACACAGGGGCCCCATGATCCCCTATTGCCATGAGTTGTCTGTCCTCCCCTGCTGGCAATATTATAAATTCTCTCTGCTTGCTCTGTTGCTAGTTTTAACTAGATAATACAAGTCCTTAGTTTCCGTCTTACATATTTTCCTGATGTCACAACATAATATATGATAACAATACCGTGCAGTCATGCAGAGATATCTGTAAATACAAAGTTTTTTTCAACTTACTACGTACAAGGAAAAGAGACACATCATTTCACAGTCCACACATTCTGCTTTGAATTCCAAAATAAAACTAAATAAAAACAAAAAGTACCAACAATCTGTATGTGAAAGAAGAGAAAATCATCAGCCAGATCATAAAACTTTAAAACAGTTAGCTGCAGGTAGCAGCTAACAGTATCCTAACAGGGTGTGTGGGCTTGGTGAGATGGGTCTGGAATTTTATTTATTATTTTCACATCATGGACAGCACATCAAGTTATTATCAGACTTTTAGATTTTATTTTTATAGAAAAGGTTCTAGAAAAAGTTCTCATGTATCCTGTCCATCTAGGCTCTGTTAAGTATTAAGGCAGCTGTAATATAACCACATCATGTTATTCTAACCTAATGTTAATGTAACCCCATATTACAAATATTCCAACCAAAGGTTGTCTAAACCAATTAAAATAGATCTATAAAATTAATAAAATTGTTAACATCATATCAGAAATACTCACGTGATAATCTCAATATCACACCCTAATTCCAATTACACAGATACATCTCCATAAGGCTAGGTTCACACTAATGCGGTGCAGTATCGCATTCCTGTGCAAATCACATGCGATTTGTTTGCGGTGCAATTGAAGCCATACATTATGTATGGCTCAAATCGCACCGCACCCACACCAAAAATGTGCAGGACTCTTTTTTGGGTCCACACTAGAATCAGATCGCTGGGGTATTCACACCTATGCGATCCGATTCTGCACATCGCACCGTGTTTTGCAGACCGATTTTGGGGTGTTGTTAACTTAATATACACACCCGCATCAGTTCGCATGAACGGGGTGTGATTCTGATGCGGTACGGAATTCGGACAGAAAACGCTGCAAATTCTGCACCGCATCAGTGTGAACCCAGCCTCAAGGAGGATGCTTTTTTACCACCTTTCCCTTTTTTAAATGCACCGTTTCCACTATCAAAGGATATTTAATTTGTGTTATTTTATACATACTATATGCACTTTTAAATTTAACGTTCAATTTACCATGATTACTGTGATTACATTGTTTATCAGATTAATTAAGCTGACACAGAATGGGTTTTTTTTTGACCAGTATATCCTTGTGTCCTCTGTGTCCTGTCTCATCCCAGGGGAAAGAGAAAGGGAGGGGGGAATCGCCAGAGAGCTACACGACACTCAAAAGATATAGAACTAAAAGGCCCAGCACACCCATTCACATGCATACACGATTATCTCTCTAAATTGCTTACATTTTTTACACAGCACATGCATATCATTCTCTCACTTTCTTTTAACGCTTTTCAAAATTTCCCTGCCTAATTAGATTTTCCTCTCTAAATTCTGTTCTCCTTATTTGGTTCTCTGATATCCCTTCATCCCATGTACTGTCATCCCTCATTCAACTTACTCCAGCTTTTATGATCAGATGGGTATCCATAGTGCTCATCCCACCTTCCTTCTCTGACAACATACTGGTGAAACTCGCAAAATTTGAATATCGTGCAAAAGTTCATTTATTTCAGTAATGCAACTTAAAAGGTGAAATTAATATATGAGATAGACTCATTACATGCAAAGCAAGATAGTTCAAGCCGTGATTTGTCATAATTGTGCTGATTATGGCTTACAGCTCATGAAAATCCCAAATCCACAATCTCAGAAAATTAGAATATTGTGAAAAGGTGCAATATTCTAGGCTCAAAGTGTCCAACTCTAATCAGCTAATTAAGCCATAACACCTGCAAAGGGTTCCTGAGCCTTTAAATGGTCTCTCAGTCTGGTTCAGTAGGAATCACAATCATGGGAAAGACTGCTGTCCTGACAGTTGTGCAGAAAACCATCACTGACACCCTCCATGAGGAGGGAAAGCCTCAAAAGGTAATTGCAAAAGAAGTTGGATGTTCCCAAAGTGCTGTATCAAAGCACATTAATAGAAAGTTATGTGGAAGGGAAAAGTGTGGAAGAAAAAGGTGCACAAGCAGCAGAGATGACTGCAGCCTGGAGAGGATTGTCAGGAAAAGGCCATTCAAAAGTGTTGGGGACTTTCACAAGGAGTGGACTGAGGCTGGAGTCAGTGCATCAACCTTTTAAGTTGCATTACTGAAATAAATGAACTTTTTCACGATATTCTAATTATTTGAGTTTCACCTGTATAAAGTAATTTGTTTGGGCCAGGGCCAAGAATTATATTATTTCTATACAATTTCTCGGTTTTGGCTTTTTCCCATGTTTTAGAATTTACTAGTTGTGGTGCCTTACTCTAAATACATTCCACAACTTAAAGCGGAGTTCCACCAAAAAGGGGACGTTCGCTTTAAAGATTGGTTCCCCGCTTCCCGTTAAGAATTGGCACCTTTGGGGAGCGGGGGGGGCAACGGGTACCTGAATTTGACAGGTACCCACTCCCACTTCCGGATCGGAAACGGAAGTTGTCCTCCTACGCTCCCTCCCCGAAGTCTTGTGACACGTGACAGGTCCCAGAAGACGACGGTCCATTCAGGAAGCGCAACGCAGCCACAAGCTGTCACAACCAGGTGCCCATACTGAAGACCCCTCCTGGAATACAGGACGGCCAGTGAAATGGGCTGCAGCGGGAGCAACACGGGATCAAGGGACAGGTAAGTGGCTGGTTTTTAAAAGTCAGCATCTACAGTTTTTGTAGCTGCTGACTTTTATTTTTTTACAGAGTGAGTGGAACTCCACTTTAACATCAAAACTTCCCCTGTCTAATGTTACATTGTCTGTCACCCTTCATCTATACTGCTCAAATAGATAGCTGTTCGTCTAGCTGTTTAATCTGCATTATTCTTAGTCCTTGTGGACTCGGTAACCCTGTTACCCATTGTGAATCCCTGTTTACTTTAACCATTTATCTAAGGGCTCAGTATAGGTGGAACCAGGGGCGGACTGACCATTTGGAAACTTGGGCACTGCCCGAGGGCCCAGGGTCAGTAGGGGACCCCATGAGATGCCCCTGGTACCTTTTTCATAGGCTTTTTTGAGTTTGGGCAAGGACACAGGGGCCCCATGATCCCCTATTGCCCGGGGGCCCCATGAGTTGTCAGTCTGCCCCTGGGTGGAACTGTACCTTCTGTTCATATATTCTCTAGCGCTCCACTTGCTCTGGGCTCTGGGTACCCTCTTATCTTTCATTCCCTTCCTTACTTTAAAGTGTTACTAAACTCACAACAGTAAAATCAGTCTGCATATGCAGTAAAGAATGCTTGTTATACTCACTGTGGAATCTAAGGGGTTAATCAGCATTCTGTAAAAAGGCTGTTTGATCCTGACTTCTCTGATCCTCCCCTTCTTCTAGTGTCCCCCTCTTATCTCCTGATAAGACATATTGTGTGGGGTCACTCTGCACATGGTCAGTTTGGTGTGTATTGCTAGAAAGGTTCTTTTTTCTTGGGAAAGTGCATGTGATCAGCACAGGGCTAGTCAGCACTGTCCAGACAGAAGTCAGGGGTTCTGCATCCTTCTAGAGCAGAATTAAAACTCCTACTGCAAGCTTTAACATGTGCTCTGCTGGACACTGATAGAAGTCATGACTGCTCTAACTGCTGATGAGAAAAAGCAGTTCATATTTACTAAAATAATTGCATTTCCATTTTCTGTGTACTGTGGGAGATCTGATATAGTGAATGCAGGGTTCTGGATTTAGTAACACTTTAATGCTCATAATGACTGGCCAGTCTTTTCTCTTCTCTCCATGTGCCTATACCCTCTTTCCTCTTGATCTATTACAGCAGATGTGTGTTTCATGTTACAACCAAAATTGTAAATGTATTTTATTGGGGTTTTATGTGATAGACCAACACAAAGTGGCACATAATTGTGAAGTGAAAGAAAAATGATAAATGGTTTTCAAATTCAATACTTTGTAGAACCACCTTTCGCTGCAATTACAGCTGCAAGTCTTTTTGGGGATGTCTCTACCAGCTTTGCACATCTAGAGAGTGACATTTTTGCCCATTCTTCTTTGCCAAATAGCTCAAGCTCAGTCAGATTGGATGGAGAGTGTCTGTGAACAGCAATTTTCAAACTTGCCACATATTCTCAATTGAATTTAGGCCTGGACTTTGACTGCGCAATTCTAACACATGAATATGCTTTGATCCAAACCATACCATTGTAGCTCTGGCTGTATGTTTAGGGTCATTGTCCTGCTGGAAGGTGAACCTCTGTCGCAGTTCCAAGTCTTTTGTACACTCTAACAGGTTTCCTTCTAAGAGTGCCCTGTATTTGGCTCCATCCATCTTCCCATCAACTCTGATCAGCTTCCCTGTCCATTCTGAAGAAAAGCATCCCAACACCATGATGCTGCCATCACCACGTTTCACGGTGGGGATGGTGTGTTCAGGGTTATGTGCAGTGTTAGTTTTCTGCCACACATAGCGTTTTGCTTTTAGGCAAAAAAGTTCAATTTTGGTCTCATCTGACCAGATTACCTTATTCCACATGTTTGCTGTGTGTCCTTCACATGGCTTCTTGGAAACTGCAAACAGGACTTCTTATGGCTTTCTTTCAACAATGGTTTTCTTCTTGACACTCTTCCATAAAGGCCAGATTTGTGGAGTGCACAACTAGTAGTTGACCTGTGGACAGATTCTCCCACCTGAGGTGTGGATCTCTGCAGTTCCTCCAGAGTTACCATGGGCCTGTTGGCTGCTTCTCTGATTAATGCTCTCCTTGCCCAGCCTGTCAATTTAGGTGGACGGCCATGTCTTAGTAGGTTTGCAGTTGTGCCATACTCTTTCCATTTTCGGATGATGGATTGAACAGTGCTCCATGAGATGTTCAAAGCTTGGGATATTTTTTTTATAACCTAACCCTGCTTTAAACTTCTCCACAACTTTATCCCTGACCTGTCTGGTGTGTTCCTTGGCCTTCATAATGCTGTTTGTTCACTAATGTTCTCTAATAAGCCTCTGAGGGCTTCACAGAACAGCTGTATTTATACTGAGATTAAATTACACACAGGTGGACTATGTTTACTAATTAGATGACTTCTGAAGGCAATTGGTTCCACTAGATTTTTATTAGGGGTATCGAAGTAAAGGGGGCTGAATACATATGCTTGCCACACTTTTCATATATTTATCTGTAAAAAAAATTTGAAAACCATTTATCATTTTCCTTCCACTTCACAATTATGTGCCACTCTGTTTAACCCCTTATTAACCTTTAGTTTATTCTAATCAGCCCTAATTAACTCCTTCTCCATTCAATTATAATTTTCCAGCTTTTTTTGTTTGGTTCTTTTTTACTAACTAATAATATTGAAACATTTTTTCTTTTTGTTAGTTTTGTTTGTTAATATTTTTTACACTTTTAGCATATATTTAAACTTATCACATTGAAAAAAGTGCGAGATTGAAAAAAAAAAAACAACTTTATTTCATTTGTAAATAACTTTGCAATGCTTTGTATCAGAATCATAATTGTAGTGTAATTTAAAATATAATAAATTACAGAATAAAACACACATTTTACGTATAGTAATGCTATATATATTTTTAAAATAATACTACTCAAAAATAAAAAGTGTGTTTTGTTTAGTTTTGTTATGTTTAATTGTCTAAAGATTGCAAACAAATTCATTATTGCAAGACAATATTTACAAAAAGAAAAACTTGTTTGTCCTTAAAAAACAATATATGTACTAGATTGTTATCTTAAGTAATGACAAAGTTATCGCCAAATAAACAGACCCATAGCAGAAATGTAAAAATTGCTCTGGTCCATAAGGGGTGAACAGGTGTGAGAGGCAAAGTGGATATGTACAGTATATATACAGTATACACACAAAAGTTTTGTCTTTCAACTCTGTTGTTGGGGATATTACCACTAAGGGGCTATCACATGCTCTTATGCTCTCATTAACAGGGTCTGACTATGCCCGCCCTTTCTTCCCAGATCCCAGGTACACTTATCTGAAGAATAGGCTAAAGTCTGCTGTCAGTTGACATCATCACAGACCCACTCTGGTCTTTGAGAGGATCCCAACAATAATGTTGGTATTCACTGAGATTCTTGATTGGCAGTTAGCTCAGGCTCTTGGTGCACCTCTGAGAGCCTGAGCCAGCCACTCCTGCCCGCTCCAAAGCCCGACACTCCAATGAGTGCTGGAAGGGCAGAGCGGAGACACAGTCACTGCTCTCTGCTCAGAGCAGATCTGAGAACTGAGTGATCAGCGGTCACGTGATCGCTCAGTTCTAAGGCTTAGAGGTAGCAGGGAACACTCGCAGCACCTACCCAATGCTGCATCAGGTAGGTATGTTTTTTTTGTTTTTGTTTACAATTCTGCACTTCTCCTTTAAATCAGGTAAAAAACTTTATTTTTAAAAAAAATGAGTTCCTATTTATCTCCTTATTAACCCATAGTTAACTCTAATCAACTTTAACATAATGCCCTCCTTCTCCCATTTAAAAGTGCTTGTGTTTAGTTATTAGTACTGAAAATGTGTATTGCAGTGGTGAAATAAACTGGTTTGATTGAGACGTTTCACCTTAGAAGTTTTTATGCTTCTTTTGTTTACTGTCAATGTTATTTTCTCTAGTTATAGAGCCAAACCAGTTTGTGCTGCAATCAAGACATTGTCAAATACTGAGATTTAGTAGGATTACTGTTTATATTTAGGAGAAGTTTCTTCTTAGAAAAGTTTTTAGAAAGTTTTTATTAACACTTCTGTAGACTGTCAGTGTTATTGTCTCCTGTTGTATGGTCATTTATTTATATTGGCTGTAGATTGCTGTAAAGAGATCGCTAGATTTGTTATCTCAAAAAAATGTTTTTCTTGTTTTTTTTCTTATTTTGTTCGATAACTCTTTTTATAGGTAAGGATTCTTGTAGAGTCGGCTATATGTGGCTAGGGGTGACATAAACCAGTTTAAAAAAAAAATACACCTACTATATAAAGCATATTAGTTTTTGATTTATTAATGTATTTTGTATTTAGTTTATACATTTTTTTCCTTGCTAATTTCCATAAATAAACCTGTACCTGTAACCCATATTTATATGCAAAGTTCCCCTTTCCACAGGAAATACTGTGGTTTTTCTGAGCATACAGCATTGTAAGGACATTAGTTTAAATTAGTAATCCATTATAAGTATCAAGCATGTGAAAATGAACAGAAATCACCATATTTCAGGGTCCAGTTATACATTCAATTTGCTGTCATGTAACTGTCATTGAACTGACCAAAGATTGGTGCTCTAACTCAGCCTTTCTCAACCAGGGTGCCCAGGCACCCTGGGGTGCCTTGAGGTTTTTTCAGGGGTGCCTTGGCAAAATGTCTAAAAGTTGCCCAAAACGTGTATACAAGCCATCGAGTGGAAGAAGCCTGCCTTTTAGTTACACAAAGTCACAGGTTTTCATTGTGCGCCATTACAACCTTTTAGCCACCAGTGTCCTGACAACTAATGACATCATCAGTTGATAAGGAGGATGTAGCTCAGTGATGGAGAAAAAACAGAGAAACACTGTAATACTAGTCAGTACCTGTGTGTAAAAGTGTATTTGATTTAGAAGAATAAATCACCTCTAGTGTTGGGTGTTCTACATGTGTGGATGTTGCTGCGTTATATACAACTATTAGAATAGTGTTTTGCATTGTAGAATGGGGTGCCTCGGCCCTGTCCATACTTTTAGAGGGTGCCTTGAAATTGTCCATAATTTTAAAGGGTGCCTTGACTGGAAAAAGGTTGAGAAACACTACTCTAACTAATACACCTGGAGTTGAAAGAATTTTTTACACAGTAGCTCTTCTTGTTAATCATGGTGTTAATCATGGTGGCACTGACAACCATACAAGGTTAAAGGACAGCATGAACATTGCAAGGATTGTGAAAGACCTGGACACCCTTGTGCACTCTTCAAGAAGCCATGATGTAGCATGCCTAGCACTTTACAGCTAATGGTGATTGTGATCACATTGTGCTAACAGTGGGAGGGGCTTAAAGAAACATGGGCTAAATAGAATCTACAGTAAGCCTACTTACACAGTCCATCTACACACAAAATATGTAATGTAAAATATAGCATACA